ATTTTTTACACATCTATAGCTATATAAAGATGTGGAGTCTTCAATGCCAAAAATACCCCAGCCAGCAAGGGAGTTGAAGTCCAGACATCTTCAAGTGGCTAAGGTTGAGAAACACTGGTTCAGATGATGCCCCAAATACTTTGTGAAGCAAGTGAGCCAAGTCAATGGGGGCTCTTTGGAGTAGGAATATGCCCCTGGGGTGTACCCTCAGCTCAGGGGTCTGGTTTTAACAAACCTAGTAGGGATTAAAAGATCATGCTTAAAAATGTCTTCCAATTCATGCTCCGCTCCCGGCATTTGACCACCACGACTCGGAAGTTCTCTGGGCAAAAATACAGAAGTGACCTGTCCCTGCCTTCTTCCAAGATCTTTCACTTCTGAGTCTAGTCCCACCAGCTTGGAGATATCCTGGTGACACCTCTCCAAGTAAGAATGGAGTGCAGAACCTGCTTGGGGAGATAGTCAAGGGGTGACTGGGGCTCAAACTCATTTAACGGACATTCTCACTGCAAGCCTGGGCCAGGATCCAAGGGTTACCTCTGAAAGATGCAACGCCAGCTTCAAACCAGCTTTCTTGGCTTCCAGAAGAGGCTCCAAGAAGTCCCGGCCGTGCCCTGCCTTCAAAAAATGCAGCTTCATTCAATGAAATCATCTGACAGGCCAATCACGCAAACACCAAACAGCTTAAGCGTTTACATTTCGAGAAAGCTTACTTGCGGATTCCCGCTGAGGTCCAGGCCGACGACCACGCCATCGGTGGAAAGCAGAAAGTCTTCAGCCAACTTCACGGTTTCCTTGGCGGCAGCTGTCCCCCTACTTCGGTCCACAGATACTAGAAATCTGGAATAGATAAATATCCACGTGAACTTGGAAAGCCAGCAACAGCACGAAGGAAGTGGGGAAGCGGATGGGCGGCTTGAAATTTGAATTGATTTCTGGAAATTGCAGAGGGTTGGACCAAATGGCCCTTGGACTCCCTTGCAACTCTATGACTCTATGAACTGCCCTGTATTAGGACCGGCATTGGCCAAGATTCCACAACAAAGCTGGTTTACGTTTCATTTGAGTTTAGCATCTTGCATCCTGCCAGGCATTAAGATGTGCAAACTAGAATTTATAGTTCTAAGGTTCCCACCCAGAGAGTTATGAAAGACCTGGTGATTCTCCCAGGCCTTGGAGCAGAGCAAAGGTTGAACCCCTGCTGGACAGATTTTCTTTGGTTAAATATTGTTTCTGGGGGTCTTCACGATTCTTTTTTGTATTTTTTTTTAACTTTTCACAGGTTCGTTGGCAGTCAAGCAGCCTATACATTGTATAAATAAAATACAATTAAAAAATGATTTACCCACACCTTGGGTAACCAAACTGTGCCCTAACTTGGGTAAATCCAGCCTGTTTGCATGGAAAGCTGGGATATAAATGGAAAAATATAATATCAGTCCACATCTAGCAAGATGTCTGAGGAACAGCACTCTGTCTCCAAGGAGCTGGGCGGATCCTTTTAGCTAGAAATGATGGGAATCAAAACTTCTGCTAGCAAGCAAGAAGGATCAGCTGCCCGACCTTTCCCTATGCCCATGTCAGCTGAAAGGCTTGCACCTCACCTCCAGAATCCTCCCATTCCTATGGGGGTTGGCTAATTCTCCAAAATCTCTAGCCATCTACTTTTCTGACCCGCTTGGAATCGAGGTGCTTTAGCGCATAGCTGAAAACTGGGGCAACGGAGAAGGGGGGGCGTGAAAAGCAGAGCGCATTTGGGATGGAAGATGAGTGGCTAAATTTGGTTTTCCTAAGCCACACGCTGGGTTCATGCCACACTCCAAGCAAGCAATTTTGCAGTCCAAATCCAGGCTTCTCAGAACTCACCTCACATCTATGTCCCATCCTTCTTCCTTGCATTGCTTGATGCCCTCCAGCACAGCTTCCACGTACATGCGTTTGGTCATCCCTGCCAATGAGGGAAAACACGCATACGCTCGGGTGCGAAGGAGGGGCACGCCCAAAGCCTTCAGACATTTTCTTTGCCAGCTGGTTTCGAGGTGGAATTGAACTTCTGGCCATCTCGAAACCAACTTTGGCAAGACAACATTTCTGGAAGAGGAGCACTGGAGAAGCCGAGGCGTTTAATGGGATGTGACCGACCGCTGTTGTGGGGGAATCAGGAGAGGGAATTTACCTGTGCTTTCTTCCTCCCTTGGCGTGCTCCTGAGTTCGAGGTATTTGACTCCATCGGTAGCAAATTCCCGAATCACATCTTTGGTTACCTGAAATGTCAGCACTGGATTCTAAGGAGGCTACCAGGCCAGAGTTGAGCAAAGCTAAAGGAAACACAATACTTGCGCCAATCGCATGGAAACATAATGCCGGGTTCACGCACCACCATGACTTAGGGCTGACTTAAGCTGGCTTACTGATTAGTAAACTATTGGCTGAATTCAGACAAGACACTGAGCACCCTGTTTATCAATCACAGTGTGTCAGGCCAACTTGTTTCTTGCTAGACATTCACGCTCTACCAAGTAGATAATAGTGGTGTAAGGCCCTAATACAGTGGTTTTCAAACTTTCAAAATACTGGTTTAAGGCTCTAATATGTGCAGAGCATTAAGGACAAGGGATGTGCTCAACCCGGCTATCAGATCCTGCATGTCTTGACGAAGATCCACTTCCTTACACCCTGCACTATTCCTTACTTCAGCAACCTGATCGGAGGCGGAAATCCTAACCCTAACCCTAACCCTTTTTAATTTTATTTATTAAGCAACCCAGAAATCAAAAACTTTTGGAAATTGCTGCCTATTGCTCAGGGCTTGACAGAAGACCTCCATGTGTCTCCTACCCACTTTTTGACATGCACCAACCGATACCTTCAGAATTACAATGTACATCCAGAACTAAATATACACTCCCCACAGCCTATGATGGAGCAGTAAAGGGCCCCTGATCCAAGCATTGGGTTAAAAGTAACTTACCATTAATATATCTTCAGGTCTGCTGGTAATCTGGTGTATGATCCGGAACATCTGAAAACATCTGCATGGACAAATGTGTAATAATGGGGTTAATAATAACCACAGCAGCATGTACAGGCTGGAAAATGGTGCCCATATTCTTAAAATAAATGACTGTAAATTGATGTAGATCAGTTTACAACAATGGTAATTATGGCCACTGTGAATGTTTAACCATTGCATTTGATTGTAAACTGAATGGTTTACTCCTGTAACTCCTCAAAGGGTCCATTTGAAAATACTGTGAGTTAAGGAATGGGGCTTTCCCTTCATTGCAGAGTTAGGTGGAATGGGGGAAATCTAGACAAAGGGTTGGGGAAATGGCAGAGTTACAAAGAAGAGATCCCCTGCAGATATAAATGCCTGATCAAATTCCCCAAGAACAGCAGGGTAACCTCACGAAAAGAAAATCGAAGCTGGAAGTATTCTGCTCAAAAGACCATGCAGGGTTAAAAGTGTGGGAACAGCAGCCTCACTTCAGCTGGGGGGGGGGGGCGCCAGGTTGGAGAACACACTCTCCAAACTGTCCCCCCCCCCAAAGTTGGATTTACTCCTCCAAATTTCTTTTTTTCCCCTTGTCGATTGTTATCATTTCGTTTTGAATCCGAAGGTCGGGCTTCTGCGCCATCAGCTTCTTCATGGTGGCGGCACTGATGGACCCGTTCAAGTGGGCATGGAGTTCCTGAATGGGAAAGAGAAGGGGATCCATTTCGCTGGGAGCCTCTTCGGGCAGAGAACTTGTCCCCTGGCAAGTCCCCTCTCCTTTGGGTGGGCTTCACCCACAGGCATTTCATTCTGCTGGTGTGCGCTGTGTGGGCAAGCACACGAGAGCGGATCTCATCACTCCATCTCTCAAAGGCTGCTGGAGAATTGAACCTGGTGAAAAGTCACAGTGAGACTTCCAGCACCCTGCTTCTCAACCTTGTCACCTGTAAGAGGGGTGGACTGCAACTCCCAGAATTCCCCAGCCAGCAGAG